GTTGGGAAAGGGTAAAAATTTGAAGACTTCTTACTTTGTGAAAGAATTATTTGTATTGACAATGGCAGAATTTTCTTGCTTTTACGCACAAAATTTTGCTGTTATTCTGATATTCTAGAAGCTAACGATCATCACCAGAATACAAGAGTTTCATGTGAGGGGAAAAGAAGATACAACATAAATAGTTTCTAATAATCTGCGAATGATCTTATTTCCTCCCAAAGGAAACAAATGTCTTAAAGTGATCGGACAATCATTCTGTCATCACACCAAAGCACACATCAACGAATTAAAGAAACGAAGATGAAATCTATCTCAGTGAAATCTGTCTCTATTTCATTCTCAGTGACACCACTCAGTATGCAGTGCTGCTTGAGTGTGCTGACTCTGTCAGTTGGTGTTAGTTTTTATCTGTTTATTCTTATAAAAGTCACAACTCTTCTCTTTTTCCAGCCTTCCTGCAATCTGACTGGGACGCTCATAAAAACTATTATAAGTCCATGAGAGAAATTTATAAGAACCTTAGAATAAAAAGAGGCAAAAAAACCCAGTTTCCTTGAGTAGGCCTAAGAGTTTCTGTTTCATGTGCTGGATGGAAAACATGGGCGGTTCCTTTTCACACGAGCATGCGCGTTCCTGTGTGCGTAAACCACAGAGAACAACAAAATGATCAATTCAATTTCTTTCCATTATTCTGCAAAAAAGAATAATTATGTCATGAGCTTCCAGCTAGTCCGGAATATGTTTATAGGTTTATCAATGTGGATGTAGTAACACAAAAGGCAGTCTATGGTATGAGCCAAAAAATCAAGTTGCAGAAAATATAAGTAGTATGATCCCATTTTTGTAAAAACAAAAACTGCACGTAATCATAAACATATGTATGTATATAATACACATATGGATATTGAAAGATGTTAGAATCTCACTCTAAGGTGTGAAATTGGGGAGTAATGACTTAAAATACTTTTTGTTTGCATCTTTTTTAAATAGAGACAGGGTCTTCCTGTGTCAGATCATAGCTCACTGCAGCCTCTACCTCCTGGCCTCAAAGTGATCCTCCTGCCTCAGCATCCCAACGCTCTGGGACTACAGGTATGAGCCACTGTGCCCAGCCTTGTTTGGATTTCTTAAATGAGCATATATTTCTTTTATGATAGTTTAAGTTCATATATTTCTACCCTTCAGTTCCATGGTATAGAATGCTTCTCTGGTCTCTAGAATAATAAGGCACATATTATAATAATAAGGCATATATTCTGTGTTTTAAATAAGTTGTCATGTAATATTTTTCTTCCCCCTCGGCTAATTTTATTGCTAACAGGTACAGTGATGTTTCAGCTTGTCTAGGCCACCATACCCAGTTTTTGGTCAAATGCCAGTCTAGATGTTGTTGTGCAGGTACTTTTTAGAGGTGATTAACAATAAATCAGTAGACTTTGATTAAAGCAGATTAACCTCCATAATATGGGTGGGCCTCGTCCAATCAGTTGAAGGCCTTAAGAGAGAGGAAAAAAAAAAACTTTAGGTTCGCTAAAGAAGAAGGAATTCTGCCTCCAGACTGACTTTGAACTCAAGCTGCAACAGGAACTCTTCCCTTGGTCTCAGGGAATCTGCCGACCTGCCTGCAGATTTCAGACTTGCCAGCCCCTGCGATCTGGTGAGCCAGTTCCTTAAAATAACTCTCTCTCTCTCTGTTTCTGTTTCCTGGAGAAACACATCCCGTGGGTTCTGTTTCTCTGGAGAGCCCTGACTGATCCAGGCACACAGGCTTGGTTTTATTGGATGCTTTGTCGAGAGAGCATGATCTTAACGACACTATTTTGGATCTTCCCGCTGCAGCTGTCAGAACTACACACTGCCACATTCTCTCAGCTTTCCAGTGGGGTCCTATGATTTCACTATAAATGTCACATACATTCAGCTGATCAAAAAAACAAGTTGTATTTTATTAATAATATAAAAGAACATTTGTCAAAATCAATTGTAGACCAAACAATAGACATACAAATGAATTAATATTAGCCAGCAAATTTTCTCATCTTTCTCAGAAGAAAAAGATGCAATTGTCTTTTTATAGTCATGTAATTAATGAAGATACATGAAAAACCAATAAATTATGGAACTCTTTGAAGCTGACTAGCTGACGTCAATCTTCTGCATGTGGTTACCCAGTTTTCCCAGCACCATTTATTGGATTCTTTTCCCCCAATGTTATATTTCTGTCTGCTTTGTCAAAGATTAGATGACAATATGAAGATGGTTTTATATCTGGGTTCTCAGTCCTGTTCCAAAGGTCTATATCTCTGTTCTTGAGCCAGTACCATACTGTTTTGGTTACTATAGCCTTGTAGTAAAGCTTGAAGTCTGATAGATTGATGCCTACCAATTTGTTCTTTTTGCGTAAGATTGCTTTGGCTATACGAGGTCTTTTCTGGTTCCATATGAAGCATAGAATTATTTTTTCTAGATCTGCAAAGAATGATAATGGGATTTAGATAGGGATTGCATTAATTCTGTAGATCACTTTGGGTAGTATGGACATTTTAACAATATTGGTTCTGCCAATCCATGAGCACGGTAGGGTTTTCCATTTGTTAACATCTTCTACAATTTCTTTTCTCAGTCTTTCGTAGTTGTCCCTATACAGGTCTCTCACCTCCTTCGTTAAATATTTTCCTAAATGTTTAATTTTCTTTGATGCTATTGTGAAAGGTGTTGTGTCTTTGATTTGGTTTTCAGCTTGACTGTTATAGGAGTATATGAATGTCACTGATTTGCGTGCCTTGATTTTGTATCCTAAGACTTTATTGAATTCATTTATCAATCCCAGGAGTCTCTTGGTTGAATCCTTGGGATTTTCTAGATATAATATCATATCGTCAGCAAAGAGTGAGAGTTTGACCTCTTCTGCCCCCATTTGAACATCCTTAATTCCCCTCTCTTGTCTGATTGTTCTGCCAAGGACTTCCAGCACTATGTTGAATAGAAGTGGAGATAGTGGACAACCTTGTCTGGTTCCAGTTCTAAGAAGGAATGCTTTCAATTTTTCCCCATTCAGTATGATGTTGGCTGTGGGTTTATCATATATGGCTTTAATAATTTTAAAGTATGACCCATCTATGCCTATTATGTTAGGAGTTTTTGTCATAAAAGTGTGCTGGATTTTGCCAAATGATTTTTCTGCATCTGTTGAGAGACTCATATGGTCTTTAGATTTTCACATTTTGGCAATGCCATGATTGCTATGCTTTCATCGTGTCTTTGTTGCTTAAAGGCAATGTTAATACTTCACCTTCCCTTTTTTTTAGTTGACTAAGAAAATTTTGCTCCTAGAAAGGTTTTGCCTAGATTATTTCAACCTATTTTTCTTTTCTCATTCTCTTTACAACTACTGTTATTCTGCAATAGCAGTATTGATCTTCTAAGGCATGTGAAGTATATTTCCTGGAATGTTTCCCTCAGGCAAAATAGAATAGTAAAAAACTTCACAAGTACAAGAGACATAAGCAATGACCTTGAAACTCTTTTGTTCTCTAGATAATGCCTTGATTTTCTCTCCATTG